CTATATTATCCGCATTTTACAACATTTCGCAACGAAACTTTGGAATATTACTAATTTTGTGATGCTCTTTCAAGCTGTGATGAAATTTTTGTCTAGATCAAAATTTAGTCTATAATGCAAATGGTCCATTAAAAAACTCCTATATATTCTCATTGCAGGTACATACTCAAACTTGTATAACCACCCGACTCTAATTAAAGAATCTTCCAAGGTTGGTCTTGTTCAAAATATTGCAGTAAACTAGACTTGAAAATTGAAAAGGTGCAGCGATATTTTACTAAAAATGCCTCCATGAAATGTTTAATTTCATCCCATTTTTATAACCTCTAGAAGGATTCTGGCGAGAAACGCATCAACCTATCAAAGCGAGAAGGCATTCCGCTCGGCGTTCTCTCGGACGGAAAGAAAAACGAGAGCCCTCAAGGTCCTGGAGCGAACCAATCAGAAGAAAGCCAACGACCATCTGCAAGTCACGTGAGGTCACGGGGTGAAACGGCAGAAGTGAAAAAAGCGCGAAAACAACTTGTCAAACAAGAAAGACAGGTATTTATTGTGTCACTAGTTTGTCTGCAAAAACTTCTAAGACCTTTCACGAAAAGAATAGAAAAAGCTTCTTTTTTTCAAGATTAATGAAAATTAGGACGATAAAAATATGGTTTAGTCAAATCTCAAAATAATTCGCGTAGTTTTGAGCAGGAATTAGTCATTCGGCCTATGGTGGCCATTGATGTCCAATACTCAATAGCTCTAAAGGTCGTAAACAGCTTTTATACCATTTTTCCGCAGCTAATTCCAGTTTTTTCTAACGGTCCGTATCGCTAACCAAAACATAGTGTTATTCTTTAAAATCGATGTCAAAATACGAAATTTCGCCACACTCCTTGCCAGGATGGCGGAAATTGAAGGAGCTATTGGACATCAGTTCAAGTCCCTTTCTATTGGTTTTGTCTGCGCGGTTAACACAAAACTGGCTTCACTTTCTGCACTCGCGTTCTCGTTCCAGGTGTATATGGAGCTCAGTGCAGCTCACTGGGTTTAACGTGACTTTACCTTGTTTTAAACAGACGCGGCGTGTTGAAAAGAAGACGAACAAATTGTTATTTAAGGAAGAGAGAAAACGTCAAGAGAAATCACAATCTGCGTCGTTAGTCGGGCAGAAAATTGAGTGAAGAACTCTACACCGATAAATTGATGCAACGTGGTACTGTTTAGCTGTTAAGTAGCATGGAGGATTTTGTAAATTCAACCGCATACATCAGATTAAAAACGTTTTCAGAAGCCACGTATTAAAACATTGTGAATGAAAATAAGAAAATTCAACATGTAAATAGTATAATTACTAGTCGCTGGCAATATTAAAATTATATCGTATAAATGTATTTGGTCTATTTGATACAACAATAAACTTTATTAGCACCATTAGAATACATAAAATAAATATACAAATAAATATATTTGCTACTTGAGTTGGGAAGCATTTTTTTAGAATACTGCATCTTCATGAGCTACGAGAATACAATATTTTTAATGCAATATTTTTGCCAGATTCTGCAAGCAACAAGCATGTATGGAAGTGTAATTTTGTACAAGTAAAAAAAAGATAAGACACTGTTGTTTATCGCAAATCTCTGAGACAGTCAGTGTGTCTTCTCGGACTGTGAAACGGCTACAACATCATTTCCTTTGAATATGGTGTTCTTACACAAACGTATTTCGTCTTGGCCGTATTTTCTCCGAAAGTGACCGTTTAATTTCTTCTAAAGTGTTTTTTATTGAATTTAACTCTTCTTTCATTCCGGTTATCTCGCATTCTTGGGACGTCTCTTCCTCGATATCCAAAGGTGGAAATATCTTATTAACGTAGCTCTCGGCTGGATCTTTCCTCTCCTGTGAACGCGTTAATATTATTAAAGATAGGGTACGGTCTGCGCATGCGCACATAGGAGTCTTCTGCCGTGATATAAACACTTTAATTAGGTTTTTATTTCATTTTATGTTCTTGCAAAGCCTGATTGTTGTATCTTGATCATTTATTATACTGTAGAAGCATGGAAATATAAATAGTTGTCGAATAAGGTTAAATATTTTGAATACCGAAAGGCTTTGTTTACATACGGACTGTATCCTACCTTTAACGGTTTCAAATATTTTGCTTTCATACCAGGATAGTTATTGAGGTGTTTATCCAGATCCACTATCAACATTGCCTATAACATAATATTGGAGAGCAGTTTGTTATATATAGCTCAGAAGTAGAAAAAATTCTAACATTATTAGGAGAGCAAATAGGTTTGTTATATATAGCTCAGAAGTATAGAAAAAATTCTAACATTACTAGGAGAGCAAATAGGTTTTATTTATTTATTATTTATATTGCGCAAATATCCTTTTGTATATGATCAAATGCGATTTTGTTATATATAGCTCAGAAGTTATATATAGCTCTTCAGCCATGGATTTAACATCGAAAACTTTGAAAGATATCAGATTCTCTTACCCGTTGTCTTCGTTTCTCAGCGAGCGATCTCTTCATGATCACATGAATATCTCCGACAGCGAGACCTGTAAGCAGGTTCATTAACAAGATACTCATGCTAACTAAAAACAAAACTAGAAATAATTGAATCAGGACAAAGTTTTTGCCAGTTTGTTGCAGAAATATGTCACGATAATCCACCTCGCCAACCATCATCGCAAATGAAGTGACAAATGAAAGGCCAATGTTCCCAAAACCTTCGTTTTCGTCTGGTACGTGAGTTGTGCAATTCCTGTGTACATTTTCTTGTCCGTGAAGGAGAACGAAGAATGTCATTGAAAACGCAATTATGAAGAAGGAAACTGGAACAAATACCTAAAAAAGATTTTGTATATGATTACTAAAGTAAGGGACCGGTCATTATTTATGACGGGGGTGGGGGTGGGGGGTGGAGTCACCGAAGAGGGATGTTTTTCTTGCCAAAAATTTTGCTGATTCAACCATTAAAAAGTCAAAAAAATGTTTACCCAACCTCAAATATCATTTAAAAAAGTAAATACACATCCCTGGCCAAAAACTTTGCAAAAAGATAACATTTTGTCACACATATCCTTTACCACTTCTGTAACACGAGCATGATAACTGCTTGTGCAATTTTCTGTAGTCAAAATTTTCATGTTGTCTGCACATGTACTTTCTTTGGAGACACCTTTTGCCTCCTGACAAATCGGAAAATGATCAAGATATAGTCACACTGATTGATTCACATATTGTATTGACATATTACTGTTGACGTTGCTTTTTAGTCT